CAAAACTCTCCATTATATTCTCTTGAAATAAAACATGTACTAACAAGCAAATACAAAATAAATTCAGATCAGTCTTGCAGTCTTGGGTTGGGAGGGTCACCTGCGGAGATCAGGCAAGGTAGATGTGGCTTGCACTTGATCTGGGTTTCAAGTGGTGGGGTGAGGAGGAACATGTACCTCTAAGCATGAGGGACAGACAGCCCATGTAAAGGCATGGAAGTGGGAGAGAGAGCATCATGTACACAGGTAGGCCAGTTTGGCTAGAACAGTGTATAAAAGGGTTAAATGTAATTAGCTTAGGTAGTGTGGTGACAGATTGTGAAAGACTTTCAATGTCCAGCAGAGGAATTTGCATTTCATTTAGAGGCAACAGGGAGCCAGTGAAGCTTTTTGATAATAGAGGTTTTAGAACCTTTTGGTCTAGTTTAAGTTGGGGAGTAACGTGTTCAGACCTATCCTTTAGAAATACCAGTTTGGCAGCTATATGGAGGATATCTTGGAGCAGGGAGGGGATAGATGCAGGGAGGACAACTAGGAGCCTGCTAAGATGGCCCAAGCCAGAGATGCTGGGGGCATAAACTAGGATGGTGGTCCTGTGAACAGAGAAGGGGACCGGTATGAGAGATGTTGTGGAGGTAGAATCCACATGACTTGATAACTAATTGGATATAAGGTTAGGGAGAATGAAGAGTGTAGGATGACTCTTAGGTTTCGAACCTAGGTGACTAGAAGGGTAGTGGTGTTCACAGAAATAGGAAGTTCTGAAGAGGAAGATGGGTCACAACTTCTGTTTTAGATGAGTAAAGTTTGAGATGCTTTTACTTCAAGGTGATGATATCTAGCAGGCATTTGGTGATGTAGATGAGTTCAAAAAAGAGATAAGGGCTTGATAATGAGATTTGGGAATCAGCTATTTAGAAATGAACTGTGGAAGCTGATGAAGGCATGGAGAGAGTATGGAAATTGAAGAGAAGGATCAGGACAGAGCACTGAACTACACCCTCCAGAGGAGTCAGGACGTTGATGATAATCTTGCAGAGGAGGCCAAGGAGTGGTAAGACTGGTGGGAGAACTAGCAGAGATTATCCAGGAAGCAAAGAGTGGTCAAGAGCATCAGAACACACAGAGCGATCAAGAAGAATGAGGACTGAGAATAGGTCATTGAGTTTAGCAACAAAGAGATCATTGGTGACCTTGGAGAGGAGTTACAATTGATGACTCTGCTGTCCTCTCTTCTGGCCAGACTCCATTGGGATTGAAAAATAAATGACAAGGGATTTAAAAACTGTATGGGAGGTGGAAAAGGGGAGGTAACAAATGTAGACATGCTTTTCTGTCAGTTTGGTTATGAAATGAAGGCTGTAAGATAATAGCTTAAGTAGGGTCAAGTGAAGGTTTCTTAAGGATAGGGGATATGGGAGAGCTGGGTACATTGGTAGTCAGCAGAAAAAGAGCCAGTAGATAAAATAGTGAAAACTAGAGCATGGGCATATGTTTGAAGAGGCAGGCTCCTGAAGGATACAGGAAGGGATGAGATCAAGGGCATGAATATTATGGTCGAGCTTGACAAAGAGCAGGCCCGTCTCTTCTCTGAGATTGGAGCAAAGTGAAAACTTTGGAGAAGACATGTTTCTCATCTTCAAGTATTTTACAGAACCCGATAATCTCAGAGCTAGAAGAGACCTTAGAAACTCCCCATTCCCACTGTCCCTAAATAATCCCTTCTACAATGTACCTAACAAGTGGTCATCCATTTCTTGCTTGAGGACCACCAGTGAGAGGGAGCCCACTACCTTTTGAGGTGGCCCATTCCACTTGGAGATAGCTCTGAAATGTTAAGGAATTTTTCTTATATCCCTCCTAAATCTGCCTTTTTGCAACTTGCATTCATTGCTTATAATACTGCCCTCTAGGGCCATGAAGAACAAGCATCATCTTTCTACATTCCAGCTCTTCAGATCCTTGAAGATGTCTACCATGTCCCACCTAAGCATGCCCCATTCCTTCAACTGATCCCCATATGTCATAGACTCAGAGGTCTTTCACCACTACTGGATAATCTTAAGCTTTTATCATTCTCCTTCCTAAAATGTGGAGGCCAGGATTAAATGTAATATTTCAAGTATTTGTGATCTTCCTAGTTCTGGTCACAGCTTTCTTAATACTGCCAAAGATTTCATTAACTTTTTTGGCCGCCACATTGTGCTGTCGACTCATGTTGATCTTGTGGTCCACCAGAACCCCTAGATCTTTTTTAGATGAATTGTTATTTAATGATGCCTTCTAATCTTGTACTAGTAAAGTTTATTTTTTGAATCCAAGTATCAGACTTTATATTTATTTCTTTAAATTTTAAGTTACTAGATTCAGGCCAATGTTGAGATCTTTTTGGATCCTGAATCTATCACTCAGAGTTTTAGCTATCCCTTCCAGCTTTGTGTCATTTACTAATTAGATAAGAATGCCATCTGTGTTTTTATGTAAGTCATTAATTAGTTAGGACCAAGCATAGATCTCCGGGACATACTGTTGAAGAAGTCCTTCCAAGGTGATATGACAACGTTAATGATTGCACTTTGAATCCAGTTAGTCAATTAGATCTCAGTCCAGCTAATTGACGTGTCATCAAGCCTCTTTTTCTCTATTTGGCCAAGAACTGCAGAAAAGAGTTTGTCACTGTTTTACTGAAATCTGGGTCCCTGTGCCTTTCTTTGTACTGGCTGTCCCCCTTGCCTGGCATGATCTTACTCCTCCCATCTCTGCCTCTTAGTGTCCCTGGTTTCCTTCAGAAGTCAGCTCAAGCACCACCTTGAAGCTGTTTCTGATCTCCATTCCTTCCCTCAGACGCTAATGTCCTCCCTCCCCTTCATTTTATGTAAGTTTAATATATACTTAAATATGAACATGCCTCCCCTGGTAGAAGGTTCACTCCTGCAGGTAGGGACTGTTTTGTTTTTGCTTTTGTATCTCCAGCATTCATCACAGTGCCTCACACATAGGTGTATAATAAACGGTTGTTGATAAATTGATAGGCAAACTATATAGCTACATCATGCTCATGATCTATCAGTCTAGTAGCCCTGTCAAAAAAGGAGGTGGGATTAATCTGGTGTGCCCCTATAGACGTGACCATGCTCCTTTCTCTATACATTAATAACCATTCATTTCAGAAGAAGTAGAATTTTGCTAGAAATTGGAACCAAGTTCACAGCCTGTAGATAGCAGTCTCTATTCTCTTCTCCTTTTTGAAAATTGAGACATTTGTTCTTTTCTAGGACTGCAGCTCCTCTGCTGTTTTTCAGGACTTTCAGAGGTCATTGATCAGCACATACATGGGCCAGTTTTTACAGTATTCCAAGATGTAGTTCATTTGGCCTTGGTGACTCGCACTCATCCAGAGCTGGATTTTAGCTTCCTGTTAGCCTTCTTCTGTCAAGACCTTTCTGATCCAACAGACCATTGTGGAAGAGGGATTAGACTTCGTTTTGGCATCAGGGCAGGACTTAGAGTAATGGGTGACAGTTTTCAGAGAGGCAGACTTCAGTTTACTGCTCACCCTCTGCCTGAAAGTGGAATGGCTGCCTTGGGAGGGAATGAGTTCTCCTATCACTAGAGTTTTTTGGATGGAGGCTGAGTGACCATTTATCAGGAGGTAGTAATATTCAGGTATGGGTTGGACTAGAGGATCTTTGAGGTCCCTTCCAATACTCAGATGCTTCAGTTTTGTCTCTGTGGGTGACTGTGTGCGTGTGTGGCTATGTCCGCTTATGTTTGTGACTCATTGAATATCCTTATGACTCAGCATGTATTGTGTCTGTCTGTCTATCTGTCTGTCTGATTGACTGTGATGTGAGTTGGCTTAAGAGAAAAGATTATATATTAGACCCAAGGGCTAACGGAGGAGTCAAAAGTCCATCTCTATGGAAGATAAAGTTTGCCCTGAAAGGAAAAATTACATATACCCATCAGCTGTGCCTCTGCCAGGACAGCCTTCTTCCTCCCCATTGGAGTGTTTCTTGTGTGGCGGGAGGAGCATTGAGCCTAGGAAGGGGGGGGACCCTAATACTCCAAGATGGGGTGAGGCCTTTACTGATCTCAGCTAGAGAGGCTGAGAAATTGTTCTAGCACGTACTTTTAAGTTTTGGGGGAAGAAGAAGTTTGTGACTAGATGAGATGATGCCTGGCGCACTTCATTGGTCTTCATGGGGGAGAAAGGAAGGATGTACTAGGTTAAATTAGATAGCCAAGGACTTAGAATCAGAAGGCCCATTTTCAAGTCCTAGCCACTAGGACTAATCCCAGCCTCTCTAGGCCTCAGTTCCTCTATCTGTAAAATGGGGTCTATTTAATACCTATACTACCTACCTCATAAGGATGATGTGAAGAAATCTTGAAGTGCTACAGATATGTGAGCTATTATCATAATAGCTGAGTATCTAGCCAGTGAAAGCAGGCCAAGCCCCTGAGTGCCTCAGAGGTCTACAGTTCATCCCTGTGCTCTGACCTCAGCCAGGAGGCTCTAAAATCAAACCACCGACCCCCACACTAATTACTAAGACAACAGTGAGGGCCTTGTCCTTCTGCCGCTGCGCCCCCCCCCCCCTTTTAGGAGACAAGCTAAGAGTTTGAACATGGTCAGGAAAGCTTGGCTAAAGGTAGAAGAAGGGCTGAGACTTGGGCTTGATTTTGATCCTGCCCTTTAAGGAAGAGGGCATCAGCTGAGTGAGCCATCATTGCTCCCCAGCTGCCAGCGGCCTCTGTCAGAGCTGGTGTGGGTGGGGGAAGATTGTGGGACCCCTGTGGGACAGCTCTCAGGGTCTTAAGTCGAACTGTCATACTTCTTTTCCTTACCCTATTCCAGCTCCTTCCTTTTTTCCCTTTTTATTCTGTCTCCCAGACTTCTGAGTGAGACTGCCTTTCTCTCTGTAAACTTTACAGTGGATTTCTCTTTGACCTGATGACCTATGTCTCTTTTTCTCTTTCCTTCCACACCAACGCAGCCTGCCCGTCCTACCAGCTCAGGGGCATCAGGGGCTGGTGGCCCAGCAGGCCCCTCAGGTTCAGCCTCTGCCTCAGCCTCCACTGGGGAGATGAGCAGCAGTGAACCCAGCACCCCAGCGCAGACACCCTTGGCAGCCCCCATCATCCCCACGCCCTCGCTCACCTCCCCTGGGGCAGCTCCCCCATTGCCTTCGCCCTCCAAGGTAAGGCCTGATGCACAGGAGGAAACTGTTCTACGGAGGGAGCCAGGAGTTTCTCCAGGTCCTGTAGAAGCCCAGAGCTGGCTTTAGGTGACCTTGGATCCAGCGATTTCCTGCTACTGTTGGCTTGTAGTTCCCCTCCTCCACCTCAGCATGTTGGTAGCCCTCAACCCTGTGGCGGTTTCCTTCCCAGATGTTTGTATGTGAGAAAAGGAGAACAAGGAGCCCATTCCTCGTCTCAGGAGGTTGGGACCGTATAGGACCCTCTTCCCTCCCGCTGAGGGGGGTACATGACACCTCCTGCCATCTCTGATTCCCCTGGGGATCTCCTGTCAAGAGGAGAGACTGCGAGTCTGCGCTCCTTCCCCGAAAAGGGGTTTGCTACACACCTGGCATCCCGTCCCTCCCCCTCCAGGCCAGAGCGCTGGGTGGAGGGGGCACCCCCAATGACGGGAGCCTGGGGCTTCTTCCCAGGAAGAGGAAGGGCTGCGGGCGCAGGTATGCGACCTGGAGGAGAAGCTGGAGACCCTGAGGCTGAAGCGTGCAGAGGACAAGGTGAAGCTGAAAGAACTTGAGAAGCACAAGATCCAGCTGGAGCAGGTGCAAGAATGGAAGAGCAAGATGCAGGAGCAGCAGGCAGAGCTGCAGCGAAAGCTCAAAGAGGCCCGGAAGGTGAGGGCAGGACGATGGCACGGAGGGACGGGCGGGCTCGGGAGCAGAGGGAGCCGGGGCCTGGGCCGGAGCGTGCCGGGCACCTCCGACCTGGCGCAGCACCCCGTCTGCTTCCCAGGAAGCAAAAGACGCCCTGGAGGCAAAAGAACGCTACATGGAGGAGATGGCTGACACCGCCGATGCCATAGAGATGGCCACTCTGGACAAGGAGATGGCTGAGGAGCGCGCGGAGTCCTTGCAGCAGGAGGTGGAGGCTCTGAAGGAGCGCGTGGAGGAGCTCACCACCGACCTGGAGATCCTCAAGGCGGAAATCGAAGAGAAGGGTAAAGGGGGCGCCTCCCCAGGAGGCGGGGTTCTGAAAAGCGGAGCCGCGGGCCGGAGGCAGGGAAGGTAGGAGGGGGGCGGCGATGCCGGCTGGGGCGGGCAGTGAGTGGCCTCTGTTCTCCCTCAGGCTCTGACGGGGCCGCGTCCAGTTACCAGCTCAAGCAGCTGGAGGAGCAGAATGCCCGGCTGAAGGACGCCTTGGTGAGGTAGGCCTGCTGTGTTACTCTGGTCTCTCTCTCCCCCCTGCCACATCTTTGGGTGCCCTTGCTTCTGATGCTTTGTGTAATGCCCCCTCCCCCCCCAGAATGCGGGACCTCTCTGCCTCAGAGAAGCAAGAGCATGTCAAACTGCAGAAGCTCATGGAGAAGAAGAACGTGGAGCTGGAGGCCCTGAGGCAGCAGCGTGAGCGCCTTCAGGAGGAGCTGGGCCAGGCCGAGCGCACCATCGATGAGCTCAAGGAGCAGGTGTGGGGGCAGCCGGGCCGAAAAGGGCTCAGATTGAGGGCTAGAAGAGGGTCCTCACTTGTCCAGTGAGGCGGAAGGTTCAGGAACTTACCCACGGTCACACAGAGAGTACGTGGCCCTCGATCCAGTGATCTTTCCACAGCACCATGATGCTTTGGGTGCACCAGCACCAGCACTCCGCTCTGAGCCCTCATTTCAGTCCTACGGGCTTTTTTTGTTGTTTCTGTGTTTGGTGCCCAGCTCGAGCACAGGACCCTTCACATAGGAGGGACTTGACAAATGGGTGCTGAAATCAGGTGAATGGAGCGCTTGTAGTGGACAGCACACAGGGGCAGGCACTTGGGGCGGGGGGGCTGGGGGGAGGAGAATCCAGATGGCCAGAGAAGAGCAAACCTGGACACGTGCGATTACAGAAGTGTCTGTAACTCCCCCTACAACGCTTACAGGTAGATGCAGCCCTGGGAGCAGAAGAGATGGTGGAGACGCTGACAGACAGGAACCTGAACCTGGAGGAGAAAGTTCGGGAGCTGCGGGAGACTGTGGGAGACTTGGTGAGACTTCTGCTCTGCCCAGCCCCCAACCTCTGAGGGAAGCTTGGGGCCTTTCCTCGGTTTCAGCTTCCTGTTCCCATCTCCATCTGGACACTGCCGAAGGAGCTGGTGAAAAGGAAGCCTCCTGCTCCGACCTTGCCCACTGATCACTGAGGGTGACTTTAAGGAGCTCGTCCTTGATTCCCTGCTGACCCCAAACCGTGAAGGGGGACATCTGGGAGGGAATCCCCCAAGACCATCTCTGGCCCATGACCCTTATTGCTCCACACTGCCTCTGTCGCACAGGAAGCTATCAATGAGATGAATGATGAGCTGCAGGAGAATGCCCGGGAGACTGAGCTTGAGCTTCGGGAGCAGCTGGACATGGCAGGCGCCCGTGTGAGAGAGGCCCAGAAGCGTGTAGAGGCTGCTCAGGAGACGGTGGCTGACTACCAGCAGACTATAAAGAAATACCGACAGCTGACGGCCCATCTGCAGGTAGCTCCCGCTGTCCCCACACACGCCCACACACCTGAGGGTACTATGGGAACCACCAGGTTCCTTCTGTTTCTCCCGGAGCCCCCTGATCACTCCTTGTTCAGTCTGTCCCTGCTCCCCCAGGATGTGAATCGGGAGCTGACTAATCAACAAGAGGCTTCGGTGGAGAGGCAGCAGCAGCCGCCCCCTGAGACCTTTGACTTCAAGATTAAGTTTGCTGAGACCAAGGCCCATGCTAAGGTTTGTGTTGGAGCTGGGGGTGAAGGATGCTTACTGTTGATGGCGCGCTGTGGGGCCATGAGGACCAAGGGCTGGCCTGGGGTTGGCAACTAGAGGAATTTGACTGTATTTTGTGTACTTTGTATTCAGAGTAGCCTTGGCCCCTGGGACCTAGGGGTGACACATGGCTGTTTTGGATGGACTTGGGGTTAGGGTAGGCCCTGGCACGGGAAGGCTTATGGGTTCCTAAACCCTTGCTTGGTGGTGCTGTCGCCCTCTAGGCCATTGAGATGGAGCTGAGGCAAATGGAAGTGGCCCAGGCCAATAGGCATGTATCCTTGCTTACGGCCTTCATGCCAGACAGCTTCCTGAGGCCTGGTGGAGATCATGACTGTGTCCTTGTTCTGCTGCTCATCCCTCGCCTTGTTTGTAAGGTAGGCCCTGGCACACATCCTTCATACTCTCACATGCACACCCAAGTTCTGCTCCTGCCTTTGTGCTTTGGGTGCCCCGAACCAGAACCCTGGGAACCTTCTTTGTTTGTGCCTCGACCCTGAGCCCAGGGAGTGCCCTTGGTGCTGAGCCTCACATCCCTTGTACTTCTCTGACAGGCAGAGCTAATCAGAAAGCAGGCCCAGGAGAAGTTTGATCTGACTGAGAACTGTGCGGGGCGACCAGGGCTTCGAGGGGCTCCTGGGGAGCAGCTCAGCTTTGCTGCTGGCCTGGTGTACTCACTGAGCCTCCTGCAGGCCACACTCCATCGATATGAGCAGTGAGTAACCCCTACGCCACTAGGCACTGGCTACCTGTCTCCCTCTCTCCTGTATCAGCAAAAACTGCAGTGTAAACTTAAGTGGAGTGCTCTACCCTTCATCTCAACTGGTGACTGCAGTACCCTTCGTTAGGAGCCCCAGTTGCACGTGCTGCCCCTCACCCTCTGCAACTCCAACACTAGTTTCTTGTGACTAAGAGCTCACCAGGAGATTGAATGCCCTGGGCCTCTCTCGTGTGACTGTGGTCTTACTGCTGGTCCTGCTCTTTTCCACAGTGCCCTGGCTCAGTGCAGTGTGGATGTCTACAAGAAGGTTGGTAGTCTGTACCCCGAGATGAGTGCCCATGAGCGTTCCTTGGACTTCCTCATTGAGCTGCTGCACAAGGACCAGCTGGATGAGACGGTCAATGTGGAGCCCCTCACCAAGGCCATCAAATACTACCAGGTATGGTGAACAGCCCAAGGAGGGACGGAATACATGGTTGGGATGGCATCAAGATCCAGCTGATGGCTGCAGCTCCCTTGGTCCTAATGGCCATGAGTCAGCCCTCATGATATCTCTTTAACAGAGGAGAGGTATGACTTCAGTTTGTGTCTCAGGAAATAACGTTGTCAGCAAGTGGAGAATGCATTGAAGGACAGAAGGGTCTTAGAAGATCCATTAGGAGGGTTGTTGTAAGAATCTAGGCAGGGAGCAAAGGGGAGCCCATATTAAGGTGGTGGCAGCGGTGTGGAGAGGAGATGTGAGAATGAGGCTTTAGGCAGGTCGGGGAGCAGTGGGGTGAGATGAAGGGGCAGCATTTGAATAGCTTCTCCTAGGGGCAGACTATACCCTCGGGACCTGGGGGTAGGAGGTGATGTCCCTTGCGATGAGACTGAAAGGGAGAGTTTCCCATGACTCCCTCTCCCCCACTCTCCTTTTGAATTGATAGGGAAGAGGTAGGGAATTGGTAGGGAGAGCACAGGTGTGGAGGTGAGCAGGTACATTGCTGTATGTCCAGGAGAGAGAGGGGGGAGGAAACTGGCCTGGTTAGAGAGGATGGCTCATAGAACTACAGAGTGTCAAGAGATAGGCCCTTAGAGGTCATCTCCAACCATTTTACAGATGAAGAAACTGAGGCCCAGAGTAGGGAAGTGAATTGACCAAGGTCATACTAGTTACTAGCTAGTTAGCATGGATGTCAAAATAAATATGGGATGGAGAGCTCAGGGCCCAGAAATCTGAAAAAGTCAGAAGTACCAGCGGGTATTGCTGACTGAAAAATAGCTTGTTTTCTCAAAAAGATACTGATGTATTCTGTTTTTATATTGTTTAGTTTCTCTCTATATCTCTCACTCTTCTTCCTCCTAGAGAGCTATCCCTTATAATAATTAATTTTTTAAAAAAGAGGAAGAGAAAAAAATTGAGAAGGCCAATTTGTACATTAGAAAAATTGACATTCTGTGCAGTTTACCACAATGGGGGACCATAATCTCTGCAAAGGAGTGGAAGGAAGTGCTTTTTCTATCTCTTCTTCAGAGTCAAGTCCGTTCTTTGTAATGTCAGAACGCCCGGTTTGATGGTGTGATGGTCGCTCTTTGCACGTCCACTGTTGTTGTTCTTGTGTCTGCTGTTCTCGTGTCTGCCTCTTCACGCTTCTGTGTCCATCATGCTCTCTTTCCTACAGTATAGTCATACTCCATTGCATTCATGTTCCACCATTTGTTTAGCCTTTTTCCCGGTCCACGGACATCTGCTTTGTTCCCAGTTCTTTGCTGACACAAAAAATGCTGCTATTGATATTTTGGTGGATGTGGAGCCTTTCTTCCTGTCAGTGATTTCTTCAGAGTATAATCCTTGCAGTGGATACTCTGTGGACATTGTAGCCACTTCATTTGTGTCATTTCAAACTGCTTTCCAGAATGGTCCTAGCACAACAATACAGTCGTGTGCCTCTCTTTCCCCATCCCCTTCAGACTTCTCTCATCTTTGTCATCTTTATCCATCTGGACAGTGTAAGGTGACGCCTCAGGGTCTGAGCTGCTTGTTTTCATGATGACTGGCAGATGGTTTTGCACAGCTGTCATCTGGTCCTCATAATAGTCCTGCGGGAACCAGATAGTGTCAGGGACCTGCCCAAGGTCCCATGGGACATAAAGCACGCAGTCTTCTGCTTCCTAAAGCAGATGGCCTCTTCTGTGGTTTCACTGTCTTTCTCTTCTGGAAGACTTTGAGGTCCCACAGCATTGTGGCTCTAATGGAAAAAGAGGGCTCTGTGGAGGCCTCAGTCAGTTCTTAGGGGAGAGAGCATCGTCAGCAGGCCCCAGGAGACTCCTCTCTTCTAAGGCATCTTGTTAGCAGGATGGGGGGGTCCAGCGCTTTGTGGGAAGGGAGCCTCATCTTTGGCTGTCTTCTCTGAATTCATGCAGGCCCCCCTCATTGCTGGGACATATTCTCTTCCTCCAGGAAGCCTGCTGCACTTCGAAATGACTCTCCCTTCTTGACTCCTCCACTGCTTCTGCTTGCTCTGCAGGCCCTTGCCACAATCTAACCTCTATTACAACAGTCTGCAGAAAGGTTCCTACAGGAAAGCATTGAGACGAAGCTGGAGAGGGAGGGAGGGCTTAATAGAATTCCAGCCTGAGGAGTAAGTGTCCACACTGCAGCCAGGTGGCACAGTGGATAGAGCACTGGGCCCAGAGTCAGGAAGTCCCAAGTCCAAATCCCACCTCAGACACTTAATAGAATGTGTGATCATGGACTAGTCACTTAACCTCTATCTGCCTCAGTTTCCTCAGCTGTAAAATGGGAATAATAGTAGCGCCTAACTTCCAGGGTGGTTATGAAGATAAGATGACATAATATTTGTAAAGCTCTTAGCATAGTGCCTGGCACATAGTGGGTGCTTAATAATTTATTTCCTTTCTCTCTCTCTCCCACCTTGTTCCATAATTTACACAAGAGCTGGAGATAAGAGGGAGCCAGGGTCATTTTCACTGGGTCTTGGGTGATGGGACGAAAAAGGATAATAAGCGGAAGCCTGACCCCAGTGCTGAGCTTGTCTGATGTTCTTCCTTAGCACCTGTATAGCATCCATCTGACTGAGCAGCCTGAGGACTGCACTGTGCAGCTGGCTGACCACATCAAGGTGAGGGCCTCAAGCAGGTGCTGGTCAGAGAGAGGGCGGGAAGGGACTGAAGCAGCCTCCTCCGAAAGGAGCCCCCTCTGCAGACATTCCCCCCTCCCCCTCCCTGTGGCCAGCACAGCTGGAGGTGAGAGCTGGGGAGCCTGTGAGGCTGACAGTAACCCTGGGGGGACAGAAAGGAAGAGTAGTCTGTGCACTCATGGGCTGCATCTGGTATCTTCACAGTTCACCCAGAGTGCACTGGACTGCATGGCTGTGGAGGTGGGGAGGCTTCATGCCTTTCTGCAGGTGAGTTGTAGACCCTGGGCTCCTCTTTCCTGCATTCCCCATGTTCAGACTCACTCCTGCCCTTTCCCTCCCCTCAACTTGGCTTTCCCTTCTGTACTCCTCCCTCACCCCTCATCAAGCCCTCCTCCCTTCTTCACTTCCCCCTCCTTTCTTATTGTTTAATGGATTCCTTCTCCCCTGTTAGTGCTGACTTTATATCCTCTCTGCATCCAGGGTGGGCAGCAGGCCTCAGACTTGTCCCTTCTGCTCCGGGACCTGGAAACATCCTGCAGTGACATCCGACAGTTCTGCAAGAAGATCCGCAGACGGATGCCGGGGACAGATGCACCTGGGATCCCGGCTGCTCTTGGTTTTGGGCCTCAGGTCTGGGCAGGTGGAGGTGTGCTGGGATGCAGGGAGGCAGAGATAACAAAGGGATGTGACACCTGCTGCTGCTGGCATTGTGGTGGGGCTGGGAGGTCGAGTGGGACAGGACCTCCCTGACCTGCTCCCCCTTCTCCACCCTACTTTGCTCCAGGTGTCAGATACCCTTCTGGATTGTCGAAAGCATCTGACGTGGGTGGTGGCAGTGCTACAGGAGGTCGCTGCTGCAGCTGCACAGCTCATCGCTCCCCTGGCTGAGAACGAGGGTCTGCCCTCTGGCACCCTGGAAGAGTTGGCCTTCAAGGCAGGGGAGCAGGTAGAAATGGACTGCCTGGGCTAGGTGTCAGGAGTTGTGGTTGTGAAATGAGGAGGTTGGGGAAGGAGGGAGGAGAAGAGCTGGGTGAGGGGAGCTGGTGATGGCGCCCAAAAAGGGTCTGACAAAATGGCTCCGGGCTCCCGACAGATCTATGGGTCTCCATCAAGCAGCCCCTATGAGTGCCTTCGACAGTCCTGCAGCATCCTCATTGCCACCATGAACAAGCTGGCCACAGCTATGCAGGAGGGAGAATATGATGCAGAGAGGCCCCCCAGCAGGGTAGGCCAAGAGGGGCCTGGTGGGGTGTGAGGAGCACCCAGGGCGGCCCTGGGCAAGGCTGGGGCAGGAAGAGGCTGAAGTCCCCACTGGTTGGTGGTGAGGGAATGGCCATTGCCTCCGTCTTCCTAGGGGCTGGAAGGAGGGGTAGAAAGCACAGCAGCAGGTGGAAGGGGAGAGGTCCCAGTGATGGCTGGGGAACAGTGCTGTGGCCCTGGGGATCCTCACCCCACCCTCTTCCCCGTAGCCTCCTCCCTCCGAACTTCGGGCTGCTGCCCTTCGTGCAGAGATCACTGATGCTGAGGGGCTGGGGCTCAAGCTGGAGGACCGGGAGACTGTCATTAAGGAACTGAAGAAGTCCCTGAAGATCAAGGTGGGCCCAGCAGCCGGGGCCTGGTCGAGGCCTGGGTGAGGGAAGGCGGTACAGTCAGGTGTCTTGGGAGCGCAGGCCTCCACGGGCACCGTCTGTGCTGGGTTTTGGACACAAGCACTGGGGGTTCAGGGAGGGAGGGGACAGCCGAGCTGACCCTGTGGCCTCCAGGGAGAAGAGCTGAGCGAGGCCAACGTGCGCCTGAGTCTCCTGGAGAAGAAGCTGGACAGCGCGGCCAAGGACGCGGACGAGAGGATCGAAAAGGTGCAGAGTCGCCTGGAGGAAACTCAGGCCCTGCTGCGGAAGAAGGAGAAGTACGTTGGCCCCCCCGCCTTTGGGCTTCTCCACGCACATGCACGCCTCCCTCCTTGGGGTCTCCGGGGGGGCTGGCATGCCGCGCCCTGGGCACCTGCTGGGGTGCCATGGGCTCCGTGTGTGTCTCACAGAGAGTTTGAGGAGACGATGGACACCCTCCAGGCAGACATTGACCAGCTGGAGGCTGAGAAACTGGAACTGAAGCAGCGCCTGAGCAGCCAGTCCAAAAGGACGATCGAGGGGCTGCGAGGAGCGCCCCCCTCGGGCATCGCCACCCTCGTCTCTGGCATCACTGGTGGTGAGCAGTGGGCAGGAGGCTGGGGCGGAGGTCCTAGGGGCTTGGACCATGGAAGGAGGAGCAGGGAGGTGGCCCTACCTCTCCCACAGATTCCAGCACGTTCTGGGCTTTCTCTGATGTGCGTTGAGTTAGAACTTGAAGGAATCTTGCAAGCCAGCTAGTCCACCCCGCCATTACTCAGATGAGGCAAGTGAGGCCCAGAGGGGGAACGGCAGTTATGCAGGGAGTGAGGAGTAGAGGCAGGATTTGAATACAGGTCCCCTGGTTCTGAATCCATCTCCCTGCATTAAACCATGCTGGAGCGAGGGTGCTTCAGGTTTTGGACATTCGGCTATCCTGCTGTCTATCCTGTCTTTCTTCTCCTTGCCCTGAACAAAGGGCCTGCCTGCTCTTGGTGCCTGTCCAGGCAGGCTGAGCTGATCTGGGCCCCCCCACCCTGTTTCCCCTCCTGAGCATCCCCATTCCTGCTGTCCAGTTCCTTAGCTTGCCACCAGCTCCCCTTAGGGCCGTTGTTATCCTACCTATCCAAACTCTTGACCCTCCCTGTGGTTCTCTCAGTGCCCTGGATCCATCTGCAGAGGCCTTGTTATGCTAAAGCTAGGCCTCCCCTTCCCTCTTGGTCCTCCCCAGCCTGGGCAGCTGTATGTGGAGGGGAACAGGTTGGGGAGGGGAAGAGAAGATTTCCAAGTCACCTTGTCATTACCTCCTTAAAATATAGAGGAATATATGTGGAAGCCAAAGCCCAAGGGCCTTCTATGGGGAACAGGGCCCCTTTACCAGGAAACCCTGGGGAGAGCGTGGAGGCCTCCTTAGTTATGGGAACATAAGGGCAACTCAAAGACTGTGGTACATAAGCTAGGGCATAAACCTGCACCTGAGGACTGTGGATTCAGGCCCCTGCTCCTTTCCTTGCACCTTGAAACACAGACGCCCTGTCACATGTGTGTCTCTTCTTTCCTCTCTCCCCTTCCCCATGGGCTGGCCTGGCCACAGAAGAACAGCAGCGAGGTATAGACCTTACCTGGATGCTGATGGGGGTCGGGGGGTAGTGCCTGACTTCCCTCTCTTTGGGGATTCGGGGCTGGTAGGGCAGTGGTCAGTGTTAGTGGGCGTGGGCTTGGGGCAGTGAAGATGGGGGAACTGAAAGGCTGGGGACTGAGCAGGGGGTGAGCCCTGAGATCCTTGTGCACTTGTGAGGGCTCTCCCGGTGTCTCTCCCCACAGGAGGGGCTGCAGGGCAGCCTCTGGCAAATGTCCCAGGCCCTGGGCCGGTGAAGGACTCCCCGCTGCTGCTCCAGCAGATTTCAGCCATGAGGCTGCACATCTCCCAGCTCCAGCATGAGAACAGCACCCTTAAGGTATGGGACCAGGAGGAACTAGATGGGGCAAGGAGTAGGAGCCTAGCCCTGGACTGGCTGATGGAGAATGGGAGGGGAGGATGTGATCTGAGGGAGAAAGGCCCCTCTGGGCTGGTTTGGGCTGATAGGAGCAGCTTCCTTCCCTGCCCCCTCCCCTCATCTCATCTCTCTTCTCTTCCTGGTCCCAGGGAGCCCAGATGAAGGCAGCACTGGCAGCTCTGCCTCCCCTGCATGTGGCCAAGCTCACACCCAGAGTCCGGGAAGGCCCAGATAGCGAACTAGCAGGTGGAACTTTGTATCGGAAAACTAGCCAGCTGCTGGACACGCTTCATCAGCTCAGCACATGCACACGGGTGATAGATATCACAAGGGCTAGCCCTGGTAAGAACTCAGCCTTCCCATTTTGTTCCCTGGGTCTAGGGTACTCAAGCACCCCCCTGCACTGAAAGAAGTCTTGCTTGGGGGCCATCCTTCTACCCTAGTGCTTCTCTGTGCCCTACATCTCTTCTCTCTTCTCCCACCCTCACCCGGTCTGTGGGTCTCACCAGCTTCTTTCTCCCCTTCCAGCTGCAAAGAGCCCTGGGGCCCAGCTTCTGGAGCAGCTTGCCCAGCTCCAATCCCTGAGTGACACCATCGACAAACTGCAGGTTAGAGCACCCTCCCAACGCCCTGCTCCCCATGTCTCAACAGTACTTTTGGCGATCCCTGAGCCAGATTATTTCTGCCAATACCAAGGTCCCCACTTCCTGGGTGCTTAGACCTTGGGACTGGCCTTGGCACTGCCTTCAAGAAGCACTCAAGTCTGGCTGAGGAGGCATGAGTCAATGTACGATCAGAACAGACAAGAAAGTAAGGAGAACCTAGGCCCCTTTCCCCCCAGCCCTGGGTAAAGGGAAGCCTCAGAAAAGATAAGACTTGAGCTGTCCGTGAGAGGGAAGGCTTGTAAGCTGGTGGCTTCTTGTTTCTGTCCCCCGTAATCTGTGGTCCCCGTTTCTTGCCCACAGGATGAGGTGATGAAGGAGACTGTGTCTCAGCGCCCAGGAGCCACCGTCCCCACTGACTTTGCCACTTTCCCCTCATCTGCCTTCCTTAGGGTAAGGGTGAAGTAGGGCACAGAGATTGGGGGGAGAGAGGGAGCGTGAGGATCCTCCAGCACCTCAGTATGCCTGCCTGTCCCTGACTGGGCACATTGTCTTCTTTCCTTCCCTCCCAGGCCAAGGAAGAGAAACGAGAAGACACTGTATATGTGGGCAAAGTGACCTTCCCCTGCTCCGCTGGCCTTGGGCAGCGACACCGGCTGGTGCTGACCCACGAACAGCTGCACCGGCTCCACGGCCGCCTCATCTCCTAGCTCCCTCTGCCTCTCTGTACTCCTTTTCGTGTTTCCTTGACACCCTGAGGGTTCTGCCTGCTGCTGTGTCATCTCACCTTCCCACAGACATGTCCCAGATGAGAATATCACTACTTGTGTAAAGCCATAACGCTAGCCCTCTCCCATCCCCTACTTGTGGCTCCCCCAGCCCCTGGCCTTAGCTGCTCCCTCCTTTGGGGGTAGTAGGGGGAAGGAGTGGGGTTGGCTTGGCCCAGGGGAGGAGTGCTCAGCCCCAGCATCGGGCATCATCCCCTCAATAAAGCAGCTTCTTCCTCAGCACTATATGCATGGTGTTGGTGGTAGAAGGCAGGGGTGGGAGCCAAAGGGATGGCTGTGTGCAGACACTGGGACCAAGCAAGTCCCCCACAGTGCCTCAGAGGGCAGCAGCTTTCACTCTTTCCTTCTGGCAGCCAAGGGTCTGAGACAGGAGAGAAGGGGAGGCCGTCTACTTGAGCGTCCACATTCATGACCAGGTGTGCCCAGTGGATGGTAGCCGTTAGAGCTGAGAAGGCTCTTTAGAGATTGTTGTGGCCAACCCCTGCATTTTTAGCATCACATTCATTAGGTGCCTTGTGCATTAGGCTGAGCATTCAAAGAATGACCGAAGACATAACATGGTGGGGTGGTAGGTCATTCGTATTTGCGGAGGGCGAAGCGGTCCTCAGACCAACCCAGGGCCCTGTAGGTAGTGGGAGGGTGAGAAGCTCTATTTTATTTGGATACCAACCTTATGCTCATTCCCTCCACTCCAGCCAACAGAACTGTCCATGCTTTCTTCTCCCTACATTCCTACTCTAGGCAGCAAGAATAAAATCTCCCCATATGACCTATCCAAGGTGCTGAAGGCCATCCCCTGGATCCCTATTCCTTTGTAGACAACAGTCTCGACAGTGGCTTTATACTGCTTGTGTCAGACTCAAATAGAAGCAGGTCGGGTGTGTTACCCCCACAAATTAACATTATCCACGTTGTATTTTATTTTTATTTATTTTGTTGAACATTTCCCAATTATGTTTTAATCTGGTTCTGGTGGGACTGGGTAGTTCGGAGCAGTTTGATACCTGTACAACACACACACACACACACACCCATGCAGCTTGTCATTCTTTGCTTCTCTCATGGTTTTGATTCTTGAGAGACTGTGGTGATGTATGATTTCTAGCCATGCAAATCAGTGGGAAAACATGGGTGTTAACATGAAGATGGGCTGAAGTGGCAGGAATCAGCCTGGGATTACTGAGAGCATTATATCGTTTTCTGCTCATTATGTAGCCTGCTCACCTCCTCTTGTTCACTTTAGTCCCAGGTCACTGCCTGTCTGTCATACCTGTCCAAGATGTGTGTGTATGCATACACACAAATATTGTATGAACGCATGCACGATATAAGTATATATACACATGTGTATGAACATGTATGTGCACATGGCTATACTTGGGCACACTTGGAAATGTGTATGTACGTATGTGTGCATAAACATATCTCACAAACGGGTGTGTGTGTGTGCATGTATAGGTATATACATGTGTATTTATGTGGTGCAGTTTTAAGCCTTCTTAATGTTGCACCAAGACATTTTTGGGACCCTCCACATATGTTCTGATGGACTGACTCCAAGGGCTACCTATGGATCTGCATGCCATGATATGGGCAGCGAATGAATGGAAAAAGCATTTGTTGAGCACAAAGCACTGGGGGCCCACGTAGAAAAAGCAAGAGTCTTTGTTCTTAAGATCTCACATTCTGGTGGGGGAGATCACACACAGATTTTAGCTGCGAGTCAGATGGAAAGGGACCCTGGTGCTTGAAGTGCAGAAGCAAAGTGGGTGGTCATGCTTTTTCTTTCATAATGTCATTTCTGCTGGTAAAATAATCTGTTTGTGATGCCAAAGCATTTGGTGGTGAGGACTTTATTTTCTGAGTGTTAGTTGTGGCTTGTGAGGAGTTGAGCCTACTGCACCCACGAGAACAGATGGCAAGTTGCCCAAGGGTTGCTTCATAGCACAGATGATGGCTTTGGGGGATGGTCTGCAAGCAGGATCAGGGGGCTGCCACTCACTTTGGGGCTTATCTGCCCATTGGTGGCAATTGGTCTTCATGGCGGGCCCTTTCTTCACAATGACTGGGAATGCTTCATTCTTCATCCACTTGATTTTCCAATGGCTGATTTAAGTAACTGGATCTTGTAGAGTCAGTAATGATAGCTAGAAATTATATAGCATTTTAATGTTTGCCAAGTGCTTTGTATTATCTCATTTGATCCTCACAATGACCCTGTGAAGTAGGTGCTATTATACCCATTTTACAGATGTGGAAACTGAGGTAAACAGCTTAAGTGACTGTCCAAGGTCACACAACTGTTAGGTTTCTGAGGTAGGATTTGAATTCAGGTCTTGACTCCAGGCCCAGTGGTCTGTCCACTGTCTCATAAATGCCTTAAAACTATATGACATTTACTTAGCACTGAATATTGTGAAGTATTTTATATTCATCATCTTTTGGTTCTCTCAGTAACATTGTAGGTGGTGTTACCTCCATTTTATGGATGAGCCAACTGAGACTTAGAAAGTTTGTGACTTTCCCAAGGTCCCACAGCTAGTAATTGCCAGAAGTGGGATTTGAATTCTTGTTCTTCAATGAGCATTCTATCCACTCTACCAGATAACCACTAACGTTGATAGGATGATGTCATTGAGACGATGCCATCTTTAAACCTAAACTTCCAGAGAACCTCGCTAGCTATAGTAAGTCCCTCTTCCATTCAGAACTTTGCTGAGGACATCTTCCAGGATGCTGGTGAATACCTCTGGGGAGCATATGCCCCCTGTGCTTCCATCAACAAGCATTTATTAAGCACCTATGTGTGTCAGGCACTGGAGATAGGAATACAAATGTGAGACAGTTCCTACCCTAATGGAGGTTATATTGTCTTATGGGACTACAACATACAGATAAGCAAATACAGGAAATATACAAAATAAGTGATGGTTGGGAATGCCAGTAACAGTTGGGGGAACCAGGAAAGGTCTCTCTTGTGTTGAGCCCTGAAAGGTGCTAGGGGTCCTAAGAGGCAGAAGTGAGAAGGCAGAGCCTTTTGGGCAGAGGGGAGAGCCTGTGTAAACTTAGGGGAGTAGGAGGTGGGACGTCATGATTGGGGCACATCAACCAGGCTACTGCGTATGAAGCATAAAGTATATTAGAAGTCATGTCTAATCAGCCTGCAAAGAGAGGTTGGAGCCAGACGCTGGAGGGCTTTGTGTGTCAAATGCTACTTGTGGAGATCAGAGGATCTCTGAACAAAGTTATCTCTGGAGTTGCATCTGTTAAGATATTTTGTATTTTAACATGCTGCTGCCAAAGTAATATTTTTCAAGCATAGGTCTGATTCCATTAGTCCCCAACTCATCTTGTCTGGTATTTAGAACCAACCCTTCACAACCTGGTTCTAATCTACCTTTCCAGCCTTATACTCACCTTATTTATCCAGCCAAACTAAAATTTTATCTCCAGAACAGATTTCCTCTGAAGGATATGTTTAGGGTTAAAAACAAAACAAAATACAACCACCTGTTTTTATAGATGAGGAAACTGAGAGGGACTTGCCTAGGATCGTAGCTATTCATTCATAGGTCGGATATAAAACTGACTTCAAGCCTACTAGTGGCTGCTGCGATTTCTCCTTTTGTCTAAGCTAACACAAGGCTGGAGTTTTTCAAAAAGAGAAACACATATCAGCAACCAGAGAGAGAGGGAGAGTTGGCAGGGGGCAAGTTGGAAGTCAGTATGCTGGTGGAGGCCCATTGGCCCTGGCTAGCTTCAGCTGCCTAACCTGGTGGGGTCCTGACTACAAAGTCCCCTTTTCAATCCGTGGGGTTCTACCTCCCCACTTCTCAACAGGCAGAGTTCAGGATGCACTCTACACCTAGCTCAGGGGCTATCAACTAAAGGGAAAGATGCAAGGCCATGCCTGGAAGAGGAAATGAGTTTCCCTTCCCTTCCCCCAGTGTCAGATGATTGGCTAAAAGGGTTATTAGTTACAGGTACCTTGGGAGCAGTCTGCGTACTGATCACGAGCAAGTTGAAAGAAGGCACTGGGGCTGTTGACATTAGTTTGGTTGATCCCCTGACTGTCCGCTTGAGCCGCTTTTGCCACATGACCCAGGTGGGTGGGAGTTACTACAAAGGTCCTAGATCCTTTTTTTTCTTCTTTTTTAAAAATACAAATTTACTGGAAGTCTTGGCCTGCCCCTGAGATGATGCTATGCCTAGAAAGGAGATATGCAACCTCACACTTGGTGAACCCCCTTCTTTGAGCTCAGTTACTGTCTGTGGCATGATATGAAAAAGAGAGACTCTCTCTTCCCTCATTCACCCCAAGTTTATGGGCCCACAGTCCAGCCATAAGCTTGTGATCTCTCACCCACTTATGAAATGTGGAAATATATGGATATACATATATGCATATATATGTATATACACATGAGTTTCAATTTATAATTTTCTAGTGATGAATCTATCATGTAAACAGCCAAGTTAAAATTTTATTTTTAAATTAAGCATTTATTTTTTTTAATCTCCCTCCCCTCTATGCCCTCTTATTACAAACTCTTATAACAAATATGTAGAGTCAAACAAAACAAATTCCCAAATGATCCATGTCCAAAAATGTCTCATTTTGCATACTGATTCCTTGATCTCTCTGTCTGGGAGTGGGTAGCATTCTTCATCAGTGATATTCTGGAATCACGATTATAGAAGTTGGTCAGAATTCTTAAGTCTTTAAAATTTGTTAATTCTAAACATATTTGTATGAATTGTCCTAGTTCTGATCAATTCACCCAGGGTCAATTCATGTAAGTCTTCCCAGATTTCTCTGAAATTCATTTCATTATTTCCTATAGCACAGTACTGTTCCATTACCTTCATCTATCATAATTTATTGAGCCATTTCCTAATTGATGAGTATTCTAACCCTTCCCCCATACACACCCATACCTCGTTTCCAGCTTTTTGTCATCACAAAAAGAGCTGCTATATTTTTGTAAATATAGGACCTTTTCCTCTTTCTTTTTTTAAATCTTTTTAGGATATAAGTCTAACAGAAGTCAATAATTAAGGGATATTTTTACCAATAGGTTATACTGATGAAGTTTGGCCAGCATACTAATGTGCTTGATTTAAATAAAATCTTATAAAAAGTAGCAATTGCACAAGCAAATTGCATTTTAACCAGCAATTTTTTCCTGCCAAAGGATCTGCTTTAAGACTTTGGAGTGCACAACTAATATGGCCTATCTCCTTCACCATTAAGATCCTCTTCAAAAGGCTTGTAACAGTTGTGTGCTTTCCACTGATAAGGCTAGGGGAAAGGGGCCTTTACTTCTTAGTTCAGGGACTGAGGAAAAACCAATTCCTTCTCAGTCCTTTTCATGATGTGGCTGTCCTTCCCATCTCCTTATACAGTGTGTACTGTATAAATACTGGCTGAGTGAATGAATGATTCTTTGCAGATTAATGAGTCACTGTCCAACATATCCAGTCTGTCTTCATATAACCTGTCTTATGGCACCCCTCCCTCAGTCTTTCTGGCTCTTCTGGCACATGCAGAGGTCACAGGATCCCAGTGTTACAGGTACCATATATTGGTCAAGGGGAAAGGAATGATTTTGGGGCTTACGTTATAATCCCTGAGAAGAAGGGGCCTACCTTCCTTGCTACCACCAACCAGTGACCAACTGCTGCCAATGAGTGGGTAAGCCCAGGAGCCCTACATAATATTGCCCCCACTCCCCAGCACTGATCCTGCTTCCCACCTGGCCCCAAAGCAATCAACCTGGCAAACAATCCCTATAGAGGTAGGACCTGGTAACTGCTTCTGCCAGTCAAAGCCCCTGCCTCATCTGCAACCCCATCTACTAAAGACCCAGAAAAGCAAGTTCTCAATACCAAAGTCCTTA